CCCCTCGGCGGGTGGGGGTGGGGGCACGACATGTTGTGGGGGGCCCTAGTCATGTGGGGAGAGGCCCTTAGGCCACCCTCCCTTTTATCGGCCAGTCGGAATTTTCCCCCGCTCAGGGTCCGTCGACCGACCGCTTTGGGACGTCGTGTCCCGGGCGGGGCTCGGCCGCGGCGCCCGAACACAGAAGGGGCTTCGAGCGGCATCCTGGCGTGCCTCTGGGATCGCCTCAAAACCTAACCTCCATCTTTCCTTCTAGGAAGCGCTTGGCTGAGGAATTGCAACTTTGCGAGAGAACGATTGACGAAACCCCTTCCTTAGGGGGCCCATTGACGTTTATCACCTACCACTCCATGTCATTATGCATGATGTTTAGCTTTTGTTCTTGCTCAAGCTCGAAAGAGAAGACGGCGCCCCCGCGACGGGGGCCGTCTGCCCGCCCGCGGACTCCCATCCTTCCGCCGCGGGCCAGGGCGTGGGTCCAGGGCGGGACGAGCGCCCCCCCCGAGGAGGGCTTCGTGGATGCTGGGCGCGGGCTTCGAGGCAGCGCCCTCGCTGCCCTGCGGCAGCGGCGCTCTGGCGTGCCTCCGGGATCGTCTTGAGACCCGCGCCCTCCAGCGGGCGCCGTCACGACGGGTGGCGCCCGCCTTGCCCGCGGACCCCCGTCTTTCCGCCGCGGGCGGGGGCGGGGGGGGGTCCAGGGCGGGAGGGGCGCACCAAGCGCGGAGGGCCCTATGGAGGGCGGGTGCGGTTTCGAGGCCGCGCCGCGTCTGTCCTTGTCCACATGGGCGGCGCGGCACGGGCGACGGCGGCGGCGCCTGGAGATGCAGCAAAGTGGAGCGAGGTGAGGTCGGACGGGCCTCCGACGCTCGCAGCGTTTGGTGGGGGCGGGGGCGGGATTCACCTCCTCGCCTCCAGTGTTCCTCCCCCTTCTTCGTGTCGTGCTCCTATCGCTACATGGGGGGCATCAAGGTTCTGGGAGTGGCCGGGGCCCTGTGCAGCGCGCAGGGATCCCAGAACCGGAGCCCGTAAAAGAGGCACCCCCTTCATCCCAATACCCCTCTTCCTCCTCCTCCTCCTCCTCCTCCTCCCTCCTCCTCCTCCTCCTCCTCCTCCTCCTCCTCCTCCTCCTCCTCCTCCTCCTCCTCCTCCTCCTCCTCCTCCTCCTCCTCCTCCTCCCCCTCCGCCCTCGCATTCTCTCTCTCTCTCTATCCCTCTCCCTCGCACCGGCTTCAGGGCTATGCGAGGATACGCCCCCGTGCGCCAGCACGAAAGTGCATCTTCTTTCTCTGCCCGGCGTAGCGCACAGGGCTCCCAGAGCCGCCATCCGCAACCACATATCACCGTCATCCCTTGCCCCTCACTTGCCACCATCGCACCCCTTATCAGGGCTGCGCGAGTAGCTGATTTTGCCGACGTTGTTTGTTGAGAGCGTCGAAGCCCTCATGGGTGCTTTGGGGGACCTCTTCGGATTTTTGCTGGGGGCCTGTCGGAGACCTTGAGCCTCTTCGTGCCTCTTCGTGCCTCGCGGGGGGTTCTTGAGGGCCTCTTTAGGCTTATTGGGAGCATCTTGGGAACCTCTTGGGAGCCGCTCGGGAGCATCTCGGGGACCTCTTGGGGCCTTTTTGCGGGGGCTTCTTGAGGGTCACTTCGAACTTCAGTGGGCGTATCGGGGCCTCTTGGGGGCCTCGTGGGGGCCTCTAGGGCCGTTTTCAAAAGACCTTGAAGGCCTCAGATGTTTGGTCATCTTGGATGTTGTCTTAGGGTTATCCTGGATGTGGTGAAAACCAAGAAGACGATGTGTTTTTGACAATTTCAACCTCCCAATGGCGTCCTAGAAGTCCTCTTGGTGCCCTCTTCGGACTTCTTGGCGCCTCTTCGGGCCTTCTTGGGCCCATCGCGGCCGTCTTCGAGACTATATGGAGCCGTCGTGGAGGTCTTGGAGGAGCATCGCGTCTGACTTGGAGGCGCTCGTGGCCGCTTCGGAACCCATCTGGAGCCGTCTGCGTCTTCTGAGAAGCTCTCTGCGAGCCTTCATAGGGGGGCGGGGTAGGGGGGGCTTGTGTGGTCGGGCGGGCGCCTCAGATGGGGGTACATGTCCTGACCCCCTCTCCCCGAATTTTGCACTTGGCGCCGCTCTCTGTCCAGAAGGCAAACAGCGCAGGTACGTGGCCCAAACAGTGAAGTCGTCTTCGGCCGAATGTGTGCGTGTGGGGCGGGGGGGGCGAAGCTGGTGTTCTGCAAAAAGTGGCTGTACTCGAAGAAACGAGGGCTCGACGCACACTAACCGTTGCAAGCGAGGTGGTAGTGGTGGATGATGATGATGCTGATGATGATGATGCTGATGCTGATGCTGCTGCTGCTGATGATGATGATGATGATGATGAGGATGATGATGATGATGATGATGATGATGATGATGATGATGATGATGATGATGATGATGATGATGACTATGATGTCGATGCTGATGACGATGCTGATGATGTTGATGATGATGATTTTGATGGCGATGATGACGATGATGATAATGATGCCGATGCTGGTGATGATGTTGATGGTAGTGATGACGATGATGCTGATGCTGATGAGGATGATGCTGATGGAGGTGGTGGTGGCATGGATGGGGATGATGATGATGCTGATGATGATGATGACGATGATGGTGTTGATAATGATGGTGATAATGCTGATTATGACGATGATTGATGATGATGGTGATGGTGCTACATCCCCAGGCCGAAAGATTTCCTCCCCGCCTAAAAATATATGAACACCGATGGATCCAATGTGATCCTTTTTCGGGTGTGCGACACTGCCGTGGATCCTATTTCTGTCGTGCGCGGATCCAATTTCCCGTGTGTGAAAATCCCATGTGTCCATATATTTCCGCGAGTACATACATACTCGAAGGTAACATTCAGGACCCAGGGGAAATGGGATCCGCGGGGCACCGCACGTGAAGCATCATGTTATCCATGGAGTTGTAGATGTGCGGGCCAAAGCTATGACTCTACGGGGGAGGGGGGGTCTTCTTAGGACGGAGAGGGGAAGGAGGAGGGAGGAGGCACGAAGCCGAAGAGAGCGCTACATGCATCCGCTCACCTGAACGGCGCGTCGTTTCCGACATTTGGGGCTCAAGAGGAACATGTGTCGGCTTGCGTAAGCGGGGTCCCCCTAGGATGGAGAGGGGGAGGAGGAGGGAGGAGGCACGGAGCCGCAGAGAGTGCTTCATGTACCCGCTCGCATGAACGGCACGTCGTTTCCGACATTTGGGGCTCAAGAGGCAATTTTTCCGACCTGTCTAAATAATAATGATGTTGATGCTGATGGTAGTGGTGATGGTACTTGTTATAGTGATGATTACCATGATGATGATGATGATGATGATGATGATGATGATGATGATGATGATGATGATGATGATAATGATAATGATGATAATGATGATGGTGATGATGCTTATGATGGTGATGGTGGTGATGCAGCTGTCAATGGTGATGATGGTGATGACGATGATGGTGACGGTGATGATCATGTTTCGAATGCTGTTCTGGTCGTGATGTTTCTGACGGTGGTGATGATGGTGTTGCCGATGATGATGATGAAGAGAATGTTGATGATGTTGATGATGATGGTGATGATGACGTTGATGATGATGATGCTGCTGATGATGATGATGAGTGATGATGATGATGAGGATGATGATGACGGAGATGATGGTTGATGATGGTGTTGGTGATGATGTTGAAGATGCTGATGATGGTGCGGTTGCTGATGGTTACGATGATGACGGTGATGATGATGATGATGATGGTGCGAATGCTGTTGATGATGGTTGTGGTGGTGGTGATGAGTATGGCGATGACGACGACGATGCTTATGATGCCGATGACGATGATGACGATGATGATGATGATGATGATGATGATGATGATGATGATGATGATGAGGATGAGGATGAGGATGAGGATGAGGATGAGGATGAGGATGATGAGGATGAGGATGAGGATGAGGATGAGGATGAGGATGAGGATGAGGATGATGATGATGATGATGATGATGATGATGATGATGATGATGATGATGATGATGATGATGATGATGATGATGATGAAGAGGATGAAGAGGATGAGTGGAGGGAAGGGAGGGACAGAGGAAGGGAGGAAGGGATGAATGGGGTGAGGCGCTGAGTGAGGGAGGGAGGGAGGGAGGGAAAAAAGAGACGGGAAGGAAGAGAGGGGAGAACGAGGAGGTAAGGGAGGGGGAGGGAGGGGGGAGCGAGGGAGAGGGCGGAGGGGCTCCACCCTCTCTCCTCCCTCCTTCCTGATCTCTAGTCCTCCCCTCTCTCTCCTCCCTCCCTCCCTCCCTCCCTTCTCCTCCCTTTCTCCCTCCCTCCCTCCTCCACCCTCCTCCCTGATCTCCCGCTCTCCCTCCCTCCCTCCTCCCTCCATCTCTCCCTTCTCCCTCCCTCCCTGCCTCCCTCCCTCCCTCTCCTCCGTCCTCCACCCTCCTCCCTGCCTCCCTGCCTCTTTCCCTCCCTCTCCTCCCTCCACCCTCCGCCAGTGAAGGAATGGACAGAGGCGGGCCAAGCAGCAGCAGCAGCAGCAGCAGCAGCAGCAGCAGCAGCAGCAGCAGCAGCAGCAGGCAGCAGGGGGGAGATCTCCTGCAGTCCTCAGCACAAGCCCCCGGAAGCTGAGGCGGCCTCCTGCTGGTGCCGGCCCCAGGGTCGCCTGCACGACCTGTCGGGTCCAGGTTGGGCGAGAGCCGCCACGATAGGATGATGATGATGATGCTGCTGCTGCTGATGATGATGATGAGGAGGAGGAGGAGGAGGAGGAGGAGGAGGAGGAGGAGGATGGAGCAGGAAGTGACACGGAAGGCGGAGGCGACAGGCGCGCGTGCCTTCCCCACTCCTTCCCTCCCTCCCTCCCTCCCTCCCCCCTCGCCCCCAGGAAGTGGGGATGGGGTGGAAGGGCCCCCGCAGCAGCCTCTGGCAGCAGGCACGGCCTTCAAGATCATGCAGTTGCTGGGCTCCCCCACGGAGGCGTCTTGGCCAGGCTTCGAGAAGATCCTCGCGCACTGGAGCCCGCAGTTCCCGAGGCGCCTCCTCCTCCTCCTCCTCCTCCTCCTCCTCCTCCTCCCCCTCCCCCTCCTTCTCTCCCTCCTCCTCTTTATCGTCCTCCTCCTCCTCCTCCTCCTCCTCCTCCTTCTCCTCCGCTTCATCGTCCTCCTCCTTCTCCTCCCTCCTCCTCCTCCTCCTCCTCCTCCTCCTCCTCCTCCTCCTCCTCCTTTACCTCCTCCTCCTCCTCCCTTCTGCTCCTCCTCATCCTCTTCACCCCCATTTTCAATTACACAATATGAATACTACTCTCCTCTCTCCCCTGGTGACTTCCGGGAAACGTTCGGCCCCCCTCCGCGCACTGGTTTCTCACAGACAGGAATCCCAGGAAACTGGCTTTCGTGTTTTCTGTTCAAAATGCTGCTCTCGCTGAAGCACTGGCTTCATTTTCGGGTTACCGCTCGTTCCGAATCGTGCTCCCGCTGCAGCGCTGTGTACACAGCTGGCCTCATTTCCGCACTTCCGCTCGTTCCGAATCGTGCTCCCGCTGCAGCGTTGGTGTCATTATTTCCAGAGCCATGCCACGGCACGGTTTTCGGTTCTTCCAAATGAATCCCAAATCCCAAATCTAAAAATGGCTCCCGAAAAATCCATCGGAAGTGTTACACATTCGGTGTCGATCCGTTAATTTTTTGGGTCACAGGAGCCCCCCCCACATTGTGGCGTCGCCACGCCATGCTATGTCAGGCTACGCGTCCTCCGAGTTGTGCTCCCGCTGCAGCGCTGGCCTCATTTCCGCGCTTCCGATCGTTCCGAATCGTTCTCCCGGTGCATCGCTGGTGTCATCATTTCCAGCGCCATGCCACGGCATGGTTTTCTGTCTTTCCAAATCGGCCCCCAAACATAGAAAATGGCAAATCGGCCCCCAAACATAGAAAATGGCTCCCGCAAAAACCATCGGACGTGATTACGCATTCGGTGTCGGTTCGTTTATTTTCCCCACTTTGGGGCGTCGCCACGCCATGCTATGTCAGGCTACGCGTTGATCTTCAACACCATGTTATTCCATGTAATACTATGCCCTGTCATGACATCCGACTGTGCGAATCGAGAGGAGATCTACGCCATGATAAGGGATGGGAGGGAGGGGTAGGACGTCAGATCTGACGCGAACGCACCTAGCTTGTCCTCCTCCCCATCCCCCTCCCCCTCCTCGTCCTCCTCCTCCTCCTCCCTCCTCCTCTTCCTCCCCCTCCTCTTCTTCCTCCTCCTCCTCCTCCTCCTCCTCCTCCCCCTCCTTCTCCTCCTCCTCCTGGTTCTGGTTCATACCCCTGTGAACTGGTCCATGCCCTGGTCATCTGGTCCATTCCCCCGTGGCACCAGGGAATGGTTCAGTTTGCGGTCGTAGGTGTGGTGAATTTTTCGAACGGGGTCGTCCCAGAAAGCTTTCAAAAACCAAGCTGGTGGGCGTATGTGCAACCATTCACTTCCCCCAAAGAGTCACAAGGGAATTGATCAGTCGGTGCCGGTATTATTATCATTATGTTTCTGATTAGTCGTAGTAGTGATAGTAGTAGCGGCAGCAGCAGAAATAGTAATAGTGGTCGTAGTAACAGTAGTAGTAGTAGTAGTAGTAGTAGATGATGATGATGATGATGATGATGATGATGATGATGATGATGATGATGATGATGATGATGATGATTGCTGATGATGATGATGATGATGATGATGATGATGATGATGATGATGCTGATGCTGATGCT